GTGCATGGCATGCCATCCATGTTTGTGTGTGCATGGCATGCCATCCATGTTTGTGTGTGCATGGCATGCCATCCATGTTTGTGTGTGCATGGCATGCCATCCATGTTTGTGTGTGCATGGCATGCCATCCATGTTTGTGTGTGCATGGCATGCCATCCATGTTTGTGTGTGCATGGCATGCCATCCATGTTTGTGTGTGCATGGCATGCCATCCATGTTTGTGTGTGCATGGCATGCCATCCATGTTTGTGTGTGCATGGCATGCCATCCATGTTTGTGTGTGCATGGCATGCCATCCATGTTTTTGTGTGCATGGCATGCCATCCATGTTTGTGTGTGCATGGCATGCCATCCATGTTTGTGTGTGCATGGCATGCCATCCATGTTTGTGTGTGCATGGCATGCCATCCATGTTTTTGTGTGCATGGCATGCCATCCATGTTTGTGTGTGCATGGCATGCCATCCATGTTTGTGTGTGCATGGCATGCCATCCATGTTTGTGTGTGCATGGCATGCCATCCATGTTTGTGTGTGCATGGCATGCCATCCATGTTTGTGTGTGCATGGCATGCCATCCATGTTTGTGTGTGCATGGCATGCCATCCATGTTTGTGTGTGCATGGCATGCCATCCATGTTTGTGTGTGCATGGCATGCCATCCATGTTTGTGTGTGCATGGCATGCCATCCATGTTTGTGTGTGCATGGCATGCCATCCATGTTTGTGTGTGCATGGCATGCCATCCATGTTTTTGTGTGCATGGCATGCCATCCATGTTTGTGTGTGCATGGCATGCCATCCATGTTTTTGTGTGCATGGCATGCCATCCATGTTTGTGTGTGCATGGCATGCCATCCATGTTTGTGTGTGCATGGCATGCCATCCATGTTTGTGTGTGCATGGCATGCCATCCATGTTTGTGTGTGCATGGCATGCCATCCATGTTTGTGTGTGCATGGCATGCCATCCATGTTTGTGTGTGCATGGCATGCCATCCATGTTTGTGTGTGCATGGCATGCCATCCATGTTTGTGTGTGCATGGCATGCCATCCATGTTTGTGTGTGCATGGCATGCCATCCATGTTTGTGTGTGCATGGCATGCCATCCATGTTTTTGTGTGCATGGCATGCCATCCATGTTTGTGTGTGCATGGCATGCCATCCATGTTTGTGTGTGCATGGCATGCCATCCATGTTTGTGTGTGCATGGCATGCCATCCATGTTTGTGTGTGCATGGCATGCCATCCATGTTTGTGTGTGCATGGCATGCCATCCATGTTTGTGTGTGCATGGCATGCCATCCATGTTTGTGTGTGCATGGCATGCCATCCATGTTTGTGTGTGCATGGCATGCCATCCATGTTTGTGTGTGCATGGCATGCCATCCATGTTTGTGTGTGCATGGCATGCCATCCATGTTTGTGTGTGCATGGCATGCCATCCATGTTTGTGTGTGCATGGCATGCCATCCATGTTTGTGTGTGCATGGCATGCCATCCATGTTTGTGTGTGCATGGCATGCCATCCATGTTTGTGTGTGCATGGCATGCCATCCATGTTTGTGTGTGCATGGCATGCCATCCATGTTTGTGTGTGCATGGCATGCCATCCATGTTTGTGTGTGCATGGCATGCCATCCATGTTTGTGTGTGCATGGCATGCCATCCATGTTTGTGTGTGCATGGCATGCCATCCATGTTTGTGTGTGCATGGCATGCCATCCATGTTTGTGTGTGCATGGCATGCCATCCATGTTTTTGTGTGCATGGCATGCCATCCATGTTTGTGTGTGCATGGCATGCCATCCATGTTTGTGTGTGCATGGCATGCCATCCATGTTTGTGTGTGCATGGCATGCCATCCATGTTTTTGTGTGCATGGCATGCCATCCATGTTTGTGTGTGCATGGCATGCCATCCATGTTTGTGTGTGCATGGCATGCCATCCATGTTTGTGTGTGCATGGCATGCCATCCATGTTTGTGTGTGCATGGCATGCCATCCATGTTTGTGTGTGCATGGCATGCCATCCATGTTTGTGTGTGCATGGCATGCCATCCATGTTTGTGTGTGCATGGCATGCCATCCATGTTTGTGTGTGCATGGCATGCCATCCATGTTTGTGTGTGCATGGCATGCCATCCATGTTTGTGTGTGCATGGCATGCCATCCATGTTTGTGTGTGCATGGCATGCCATCCATGTTTTTGTGTGCATGGCATGCCATCCATGTTTGTGTGTGCATGGCATGCCATCCATGTTTTTGTGTGCATGGCATGCCATCCATGTTTGTGTGTGCATGGCATGCCATCCATGTTTGTGTGTGCATGGCATGCCATCCATGTTTGTGTGTGCATGGCATGCCATCCATGTTTGTGTGTGCATGGCATGCCATCCATGTTTGTGTGTGCATGGCATGCCATCCATGTTTGTGTGTGCATGGCATGCCATCCATGTTTGTGTGTGCATGGCATGCCAACCATGTTTGTGTGTGCATGGCATGCCATCCATGTTTGTGTGTGCATGGCATGCCATCCATGTTTGTGTGTGCATGGCATGCCATCCATGTTTTTGTGTGCATGGCATGCCATCCATGTTTGTGTGTGCATGGCATGCCATCCATGTTTGTGTGTGCATGGCATGCCATCCATGTTTGTGTGTGCATGGCATGCCATCCATGTTTGTGTGTGCATGGCATGCCATCCATGTTTTTGTGTGCATGGCATGCCATCCATGTTTGTGTGTGCATGGCATGCCATCCATGTTTGTGTGTGCATGGCATGCCATCCATGTTTGTGTGTGCATGGCATGCCATCCATGTTTGTGTGTGCATGGCATGCCATCCATGTTTGTGTGTGCATGGCATGCCATCCATGTTTGTGTGTGCATGGCATGCCATCCATGTTTGTGTGTGCATGGCATGCCATCCATGTTTGTGTGTGCATGGCATGCCATCCATGTTTGTGTGTGCATGGCATGCCATCCATGTTTGTGTGTGCATGGCATGCCATCCATGTTTGTGTGTGCATGGCATGCCATCCATGTTTGTGTGTGCATGGCATGCCATCCATGTTTGTGTGTGCATGGCATGCCATCCATGTTTGTGTGTGCATGGCATGCCATCCATGTTTGTGTGTGCATGGCATGCCATCCATGTTTGTGTGTGCATGGCATGCCATCCATGTTTGTGTGTGCATGGCATGCCATCCATGTTTGTGTGTGCATGGCATGCCATCCATGTTTGTGTGTGCATGGCATGCCATCCATGTTGTGTGTGCTGCACCGCACCGCAGCTTACCTTTGTGGTGCCTCAAATCACACTGCGCGCGACTCACTTGTTGTTCATGCACTCCTGGGACACCAGCCGCACTATCTGCATCGTATCCGGCCAGTCTGCTGCCAGGCTGCGAGTGGGAGTCGGGGGAGAGAGAGTGGCGCGAGGCATGTGGGTGAGGGTTACGCAAACAGCTGCTTGCATCATGAGCAAGGAGAAGTGATACGATACACAATGAGACACACAATAATTCAAAAGAGATGGGCAAAAGAAGTGGAGGTGTGACAACGGTTGGCCATAACCAACTGCTGCAAGCAAAGCCAGGAGTGCTTTTGAGACGCTGAAAAAGTGGAGTGAGGACGAGAGATGACTTGAATGTACAAAAGTTTGGGTAGTGGATTGGGGTTGGTTGAAAGACATACTTGGGAGGAGATGTCGCTTGGTGGTAGCCCTGCCGGTCACACATGCATACACAATAGACAAGAACACACAGCATGTGCACATACACATTCACTCACTCACTCACACACACACGCATGCATGCATGCACACAATCAGCCACACAGTTCCCATAAGCAATGGTTGAGTAAACGGATTTACACTCCACATTTTCTACAGAACATGCACACACTCTCGCTTGCCAACTTCACACGCACGCCGATAACGAATGTGCCCACTACTGGAGTCTACATCTCTGCCTGCATGATTTGCAACACTCCTCTCAAACCTTGCTCACCCACCCCCTTACAACACCTCCCACCCCCACCTCTGCTCAGTGCTCGACCTTCGTAAGGTTGAACAATTTGGGTCGAGGACTTAAGCTCGTAATTATTGTTTGAACTTTAATTCGCTTTGGAAGGATACTGTGCGTTTAACTCATGCGAGGAAGAGAAGTGGCAGTCTCTCTCACCTCCATGCGGCAGATCTCACCTCCATGCGACAGATCTCACCTCCATGCGGCAGATCTCACCTCCATGCGGCAGATCTCACCTCCATGCGGCAGATCTCACCTCCATGCGGCAGATCTCACCTCCATGCAGCAGATCTCACCTCCATGCGGCAGATCTCAACAGACTTGTCCTTGCATTGGCCCATAAGTGTTCCCTGAGGTGGATGGAGCAAGAAGGGCAGGGACACGCACTGGCTAGAGTCAGGACGATATGATACAGCACTGCACCGCCGCACGTGATGTGACTCAGCGCTGTTTGCATGGGAAGAAACATGAGCAACTACATGACAAGATATTGACAAGACCATTCTTCAGAAGGTGGTTCCTTGGAGTGAGTGAGCCATGAGCGTGCAAGCAGGCTCAGCGGAGGATTAACTCCCCTGCGTGCTCACCTCCCACAGCTTGAGGTACCGCGGGGGCTGCCCAGGTGGCCTCACACCGCCTGCTCCTGCAGCAGCAGCAGGGGCAGGGGGAGCAGCAGCAGCAGGAGCAGCGGATGTGGGTTGTGGAGCGCCCGGAGCAACAGCGGCAGCGGGGGCAGCAGCGGCAGGAGCGTGAGGCAGCGGGCGAGCAGCCATGGCAGTCCCAGGCCCTGCTGCTGCTGCTCCTCCTCCTCCCATGGGACCTGATGGCCCGCCTGCTGCTGTCCCGGCCCCGATTCCTGCTGCCGTGGCCTGCTGCCCTGGCACAAGCTGCCCCACACCCACTCGCTGCACGCCCCCTGCCTGCCCCCCCACCACTCCACCCACTCCTCCTGCCCCTCCACCCGCCTGCACCTACTGAAACGGTGGCTGTGCTGGTCGTTGCGGTGTCTGGAACTGCTGCTGCTGCTGCTGTTGCTGCTGCAGCTGTTGTTGCTGCTGCTGCAGGGGAGGCCGCTGGCCCATTTGTCCGCCAGCACCACCAGCGGCTCCACCCCCTGCCGCCCCTGCCATGCCCGCACCAACTCCCACAGGCCCTCCCGGTGCCCCTGCCATGGGACCACCCACCCCCACAACGCCCCCTACCACACGCCTTGCCATGCCGGCCTGCCCCCCCACCATCGGCCCCGCTGCTGCTCCACCTGCTCCCACCATCCCCATCCCCATGCTCCCCCCACCACCCACCACTGCTGCCGGCCCCGGCCTGCCCTGCTGCGCTGTCACTGGCAGGCCCACCCCCCGCCCACCCATGCCTGCTGCTGCTGCACCCCCCCCTGACTCCCCCACCACCTCTGCTGCCACTCCCGGACCTCCTCGCCCCATGAACCCTGCTACCGAGCCTACTCCCGGACCTGCTCCCGGGCCTGCTCCCCGACCTGGTGCCAGCCCACGGGCAAGGCCTGGCTGGGAGGCAGCCGAGCCCGGTCCTCCGCGTCCTGCCATGCCAGATGCTCCTCCCGGGCCTCCGGTTGGTATGGGCATTCCAGGCCTGGCCATCTGAGGTCCGGGAACGGCTGCTGGTATGGCTGCACCCATACCTGCTGCAGGTGCTCCTGCTGCTGCTGCTGCCATGCCTATAGAGGCGGCGCGGGGCATCATGCGACCTCCAGGCCCAGCAACCATCTGAGTAGGCTGCTGCTGCTGCTGCTGCTGCTGCTGATGTGCCTGCAGAGGCACTCCAGGCTGCTGCATTGCTCCTGCTACTGCCACTCCCGCCACCCCAGCAGCCCCACCACCCACTGCCACTCTGCCCGCCCCTCCAGCAGCAGCAGCAGCGCCTGCAGCAGCACCAGGCAGAGCCCCTGCAGCAGCGCCACTCCCAGCTGGTCCCATCCCCGCAGCACCCGCCAGCTGCCCTGCCATGCCTCCTCCCAGCCTCGCCCCTGCCGGCACAGCCACTCCTGTCGGCTGCGGCTGCTGCTGTGCTGCCTGCTGCTGCGGAAGCAGCTGCTGATACGCCTGTGGTGGCTTCTGCTGCTGCTGCTGCTGCTGCTGCTGCTGCTGCTGCTGCCCGGAGGGGAAGAACTGGGGGCTGGGGCTCGTGGTGCGGAGAGAGGGCATGGGCGCTGCTGTCCCTGGGCCCGCACCCACCGCAGAAGCAGAACCCCCAGCACCCCCAGCGGCACCAGTGGCGGTACCAGAAATGGCGCCTGCTGGCCCTCCCCCCATCCCCACTGGCACGCCTCCCCCCGCTGCAGCAGGCAAGGGGGGCTGGTGTGCACGCAAGGATTGAGAGGGGGAGGGGGAGGGGGAGGGGGCAGCAGGGCGGGCAAGGGGCTGCTGTGGTGGCGTGGGATACACGGGCTCCTGTTTGGGGGAGGTGGCGGTGGAGTGGAACGATTAAGGGTGAGAGAGGAATGGGGAACCGCTGCACGCGTGTGTGCATGCGCACGCTCACGCACGCGGCCGAGAGTGGGTGTGGGTGTGGGTGTGGGTGTGGGTGTGTGCTTGTTCGTGCACATGTGTGTGTGTTGTTCGCGTGTGTGCATGCAAGTCCGGGTGTGTTTGTGCGTGCACATGTGTGTGTGTATGTGTGTGTGTCTGTGTATGTGTGTGCGCCGTCGGGAATAACTGCCTCGATACAAACGCAAGGTAAGCAACAAGGTACATGAAGCCTGCAACTGGTGATAAACGGAAGGTGAAAACCACTTGAAGGAAAAAATGCCAGTATAATGTAGGCTCGGTCGAATCGAACAAAAACGTGGCTTGAGTCGAACGGGTGCGATTCTTACCAGATTGGTGGAGACTCAAACCGGCATGGGCCCCAACCCAACCAATTTGATTTGAACCGGTTTGGTTAAATTCAAATCATCCATCAAACAGAGTCAGTTTGAGCGAACATGGCTAGGATCCAATGAATGCTCATGCCTATGTGCTATGCGTGCTTCCTACAACACTGTGTTTTTCATACCAAGAGCTGTATACGGCCCGAACCAGAAAAGCAGTAGGCGGGAGGGTGAGTGGGCGGGGGAAGGTGGTTCGTGCTTGTGAGTTTGGGGGAAAGGGGAGAGCAGACAAGTGTGGGCATGGATATGCACGAGTGTGCCTATCGAGCATCAGGCTCACAATGCATGCACCGCCCACCTGCTTTGCCTGCTGACCCATGGGCGCCCCGGGTTGCTGTGGCAGTCGCCCTGTGGGATGCAAGCACGAGGAACGCGCAAAGACGAATACACAACTTGAGATCCGCTCGCGACACTTATTTCTGGAGGCGTCTGGAAGCATTTTTCAAGACGTGCAACTAGATCAAGCAAGCTGCTTTCATGTCCACGTCCAGAAACCAATGGCTGCTGCAAGAAACCATAGCCGACACATGCCTGCCTGCCCCACCCATGCCTGTCTCACCCATACCTATTGAACCCGCCATCGCCACCGCTGCCACACCACCAGCGCCCGCCGCGGGCCCTCCTCCTCCTCCACCAGGAGAGGGGCCCACCATCTGGGCGCCACGTGGAGCGGCCTCATTGGGCGGTGGAGCGCGGTGCAGCACGGTGCGCGCCTCCAGGAAGCCCTCAGCGATGAGCGCCACGTGGTGGGCGTGCTGCCGTGCCGCGTCCGCCACTGCCTCCGCTGCTCTGGGGCTGCGCTTTGCCTGGGGAGCGGGGGGACGGAAGGGGGGCAGGGGGGGGGACGCGGGGCAGGGGGGGGGAAGGGGGGCAGGGGGAAAGGAGGAGAGGAGAAGGGGAGAAAGGGAGGGGGGAACGGCCAGAAAGCCCTCAGCAATGAGCGCCACGTGGTGGGGGTGCTGCCTCGCTGCATCCGCTACTGGTTCCGCTGCCCTAGGGCTGCGCTTTGCCTGGGGGAAGGGAGGGTGGGGAAGGGCAAGCACACACATGCAGCACGTGCACACACATTGATGGGCTTCACGATACGCGTGGGCTGTAGAGTCACTACACTGTTCTTGCTTGGTGTGGTGCACACAGTGCCATTGCTTGCTCAATCCTTGCTACCAGATGGTCATCAATGCTCAACAAAACGCGTAGCCCAAGGCTCTATGAGTGGGGCGAGTGGGTGGGGTGACTTCACCGACTCTGCTCTGATCAGTAGGTGCACGTGGGGGTTCATGGGGAGTCAACGGCTGTGCTATTTGCAGGGGATCTGAGAAGCTGAAAAGCAGTGCAGGCAGTAGAGTAGCTGCTTTTATTTAATGCTGCTATTGAAAGCGCCGTGCCTTGCCATGGTGGGCACATGCGGAGGGAGCGGAGAGTTGGAATGACGTGGTCGCAATGAGCGATGGTGTCACACACGAGGGGGCGAGGGCCTTGCAACGACGAGAGCAAGGGGCTTACTGCGACGTATAGTTGCCTCAGTTGAGGCACGTTGCGAGGAGCGATGAGCGAGAGAGTGACGTAGAGCTGCCATGCCATACCACTCCATTCCATACCATGCCATGCAATGCATTATCATGTCATGTCATGTCATGCCACAACATTCCCATGGCATTGCAAGAAACGTGCGACCAGGTCATGCAACCATGATGCCACACACACACGATGCCACACACACACAATGCCACACACACACGATGCCACACACACACGATGCCACACACACACGATGCCACACACACACGATGCCGCACACACACGATGCCACACACACACGATGCCACACACACACGAGATGCCACACACACACGATGCCACACACACACGATGCCACACACACACGATGCCACACACACACGATGCCACACACACACGATGCCACACACACACGATGCCGCACACACACGATGCCACACACACACGATGCCACACACACACGATGCCACACACACACGATGCCGCACACACACGATGCCACCCACACACGATGCCACACACACACGATGCCACACACACACGATGCCACACACACACGATGCCACACACACACGATGCCACACACACACGATGCCACACACACACGATGCCACACACACACGAGATGCCACACACACACGATGCCACACACACACGATGCCACACACACACGATGCCACACACACACGATGCCACACACACACGATGCCACACACACACGATGCCGCACACACACGATGCCACACACACACGATGCCACACACACACGATGCCACACACACACGATGCCGCACACACACGATGCCACCCACACACGATGCCACACACACACGATGCCACACACACACGATGCCACACACACACGATGCCACACACACACGATGCCACCCACACACGATGCCACACACACACGATGCCACCCACACACGATGCCACACACACACGATGCCACACACACACGATGCCGCACACACACGATACCACACACACACGATGCCACACACACACGAGATGCCACACACACACGATGCCACACACACACGATGCCACACACACACGATGCCACACACACACGATGCCACACACACACGATGCCACACACACACGATGCCACACACACACGATGCCGCACACACACGATGCCACACACACACGATGCCACACACACACGATGCCACACACACACGATGCCGCACACACACGATGCCACACACACACGATGCCACACACACACGATGCCACACACACACGATGCCACACACACACGATGCCACACACACACGATGCCACACACACACGATGCCACACACACACGATGCCGCACACACACGATGCCACACACACACGATGCCACACACACACGATGCCACACACACACGATGCCGCACACACACGATGCCACACACACACGATGCCACACACACACGATGCCGCACACACACGATGCCACCCACACACGATGCCACACACACACGATGCCACACACACACGATGCCGCACACACACGATGCCACCCACACACGATGCCACACACACATGATGCCACACACACACGATGCCACACACACACGATGCCACACACACACGATGCCACACACACACGATGCCGCACACACACGATGCCACACACACACGATGCCACCCACACACGATGCCACACACACACGATGCCACACACACACGATGCCACACACACACGATGCCACACACACACAATGCCACCCACACACGATGCCACACACACACGATGCCACCCACACACGATGCCACACACACACGATGCCACACACACACGATGCCGCACACACACGATACCACACACACATGATGCCACACACACACGAGATGCCACACACACACGATGCCACACACACACGATGCCACACACACACGATGCCACACACACACGATGCCACACACACACGATGCCACACACACACGATGCCACACACACACGATGCCACACACACACGATGCCACACACACACGATGCCGCACACACACGATGCCACACACACACGATGCCACACACACACGATGCCACACACACACGATGCCGCACACACACGATGCCACACACACACGATGCCACACACACACGATGCCGCACACACACGATGCCACCCACACACGATGCCACACACACACGATGCCACACACACACGATGCCGCACACACACGATGCCACCCACACACGATGCCACACACACATGATGCCACACACACACGATGCCACACACACACGATGCCACACACACACGATGCCACCCACACACGATGCCACACACACACGATGCCACCCACACACGATGCCACACACACACGATGCCACACACACACGATGCCGCACACACACGATACCACACACACACGATGCCACACACACACGAGATGCCACACACACACGATGCCACACACACACGATGCCACACACACACGATGCCACACACACACGATGCCACACACACACGATGCCACACACACACGATGCCACACACACACGATGCCGCACACACACGATGCCACACACACACGATGCCACACACACACGATGCCACACACACACGATGCCGCACACACACGATGCCACACACACACGATGCCACCCACACACGATGCCACACACACACGATGCCACACACACACGATGCCACACACACACGATGCCACACACACACGATGCCACACACACACGATGCCGCAAACACACGATGCCACACACACACGATGCCACACACACACGATGCCGCACACACACGATACGACACACACACGATGCCACACACACACGAGATGCCACACACACACGATGCCACACACACACGATGCCACACACACACGATGCCACACACACACGATGCCACACACACACGATGCCACACACACACGATGCCACACACACACGATGCCGCACACACACGATGCCACACACACACGATGCCACACACACACGATGCCACACACACACGATGCCGCACACACACGATGCCACACACACACGATGCCACCCACACACGATGCCACACACACACGATGCCACACACACATGATGCCACACACACACGATGCCACACACACACGATGCCACACACACACGATGCCGCAAACACACGATGCCACACACACACGATGCCACACACACACGATGCCACACACACACGATGCCGCACACACACGATGCCACACACACACGATGCCACCCACACACGATGCCACACACACACGATGCCACACACACACGATGCCACACACACACGATGCCACACACACACGATGCCACCCACACACGATGCCACACACACACGATGCCACCCACACACGATGCCACACACACACGATGCCACACACACACGATGCCGCACACACACGATGCCACACACACACGATGCCACCCACACACGATGCCACACACACACGATGCCACACACACACGATGCCACACACACACGATGCCACACACACACAATGCCACCCACACACGATGCCACACACACACGATGCCACCCACACACGATGCCACACACACACGATGCCACACACACACGATGCCGCACACACACGATACCACACACACATGATGCCACACACACACGAGATGCCACACACACACGATGCCACACACACACGATGCCACACACACACGATGCCACACACACACGATGCCACACACACACGATGCCACACACACACGATGCCACACACACACGATGCCACACACACACGATGCCACACACACACGATGCCGCACACACACGATGCCACACACACACGATGCCACACACACACGATGCCACACACACACGATGCCGCACACACACGATGCCACACACACACGATGCCACACACACACGATGCCGCACACACACGATGCCACACACACACGATGCCACACACACACGATGCCACACACACACGATGCCGCACACACACGATGCCACACACACACGATGCCACACACACACGATGCCGCACACACACGATGCCACACACACACGATGCCACACACACACGATGCCACACACACACGATGCCGCACACACACGATGCCACACACACACGATGCCACCCACACACGATGCCACACACACACGATGCCACAATCCACACACACACGATGCCACACACACACGATGCCACACACACACGATGCCACCCACACACGATGCCACACACACACGATGCCACCCACACACGATGCCACACACACACGATGCCACACACACACGATGCCACACACACACGATGCCGCACACACACGATGCCACACACACACGATGCCACACACACACGATGCCGCACACACACGATGCCACACACACACGATGCCGCACACACACGATGCCACACACACACGATGCCACACACACACGATGCCGCACACACACGATGCCACCCACACACGATGCCACACACACACGATGCCACACACACACGATGCCACACACACACGATGCCACACACACACGATGCCACACACACACGATGCCACACACACACGATGCCACACACACACGATGCCACACACACACGATGCCGCACACACACGATGCCACACACACACGATGCCACACACACACGATGCCGCACACACACGATGCCACACACACACGATGCCACACACACACGATGCCACACACACACGATGCCACACACACACGATGCCGCACACACACGATGCCACACACACACGATGCCACACACACACGATGCCACACACACACGATGCCGCACACACACGATGCCACACACACACGATGCCACCCACACACGATGCCACACACACACGATGCCACACACACACGATGCCACACACACACGATGCCGCACACACACGATGCCACCCACACACGATGCCACACACACACGATGCCACACACACACGATGCCACACACACACGATGCCACACACACACGATGCCACACACACACGATGCCACACACACACGATGCCGCACACACACGATGCCACACACACACGATGCCACACACACACGATGCCACACACACACGATGCCGCACACACACGATGCCACACACACACGATGCCACCCACACACGATGCCACACACACACGATGCCACACACACACGATGCCACACACACACGATGCCACACACACACGATGCCACACACACACGATGCCGCACACACACGATGCCACACACACACGATGCCACACACACACGATGCCACACACACACGATGCCGCACACACACGATGCCACACACACACGATGCCACCCACACACGATGCCACACACACACGATGCCACACACACACGATGCCACACACACACGATGCCACACACACACGATGCCACCCACACACGATGCCACACACACACGATGCCACCCACACACGATGCCACACACACACGATGCCACACACACACGATGCCGCACACACACGATACCACACACACACGATGCCACACACACACGAGATGCCACACACACACGATGCCACACACACACGATGCCACACACACACGATGCCACACACACACGATGCCACACACACACGATGCCACACACACACGATGCCACCCACACACGATGCCGCACACACACGATGCCACACACACACGATGCCACACACACACGATGCCACACACACACGATGCCGCACACACACGATGCCACACACACACGATGCCACCCACACACGATGCCACACACACACGATGCCACACACACACGATGCCACACACACACGATGCCACACACACACGATGCCACCCACACACGATGCCACACACACACAGCATGCGCGTGTGATGGAAAGATGCATGCAACTCAGGGCAAGACCCCGCATGCAACACATCAACCCAGAATCGGAAACATGTGATCGCTTCAGCCAGAAGCCAGTGATGGAGGACCAGAAGTTGGCAACGGCGGCGCAAAAGAAGGACATACAAGAGCTGATGCAGCAGATGCAGAAGATGCAGCAGATGCAGCAGATGCAGCATGGTGCCATCATCACGCGCTGTGCTGCTCGTGATCACAGTGTGTGCACCTGCGGGTGGGCGAAGAGGGATGCCACCGTGTGGGCCGACGCCACCCACCACGCTGCTGCCTCCCACGCGCCCCCGCCCCCGCCACTGCCACCACCACCATCAGCAGCAGCATCAGCAGCAGCAGAGGTTGTGGTGGGCAGGGGCGGCTTGACGACGGGGGTGGGCAGGCGGTGGGGTGGCGAGGCAGCGACGAGCACCACGTGCTTGTGGCGCTCCAGGCCCGCTGGTGGCGTGGCTGTGGGGGCAGGCGTGGGGCACAGCATCTGGAGGGGAGACGGGAGGATTCGGACGGACGAGGGGGGAGGTTGGGGAGGAGGGGGCGAGGGGAGGGAAGGATGGATGGAGGAGGGGGGAAGAGGATGGAGCAGGTGAGGTGGGAGGGGTGGTGCTGGGCTGGGCTGCCACGGGCACCACCTGGCTGCCACGGGCACCACCTCACCCTAAGTTGCCAAATACGCAAGGGACACTTAGCGTTTAGCGGATATACGCTGGCGTTTACACACTAAACGCTAAACACAAGCAAATACGCTAAACGCTCGCAAATATTTTTTTGGGGCAGCCCGACGGGAAAAAATGTGAATATGCTGAAAGTTGCGGAACTGGACGACGAGCATTTTGCCGAAGTCGAAATGCACGTCCGCGATAGTCATGTGTGTAGGAGTAGTAATCTTATAATGGGGTAAAAAAATACCTCTGAAACATAACACCCTAGTTTTCCCCCCTATGATAGCCCTGGCGGTTTTTTTTCCCTGCCCAAAATAGCGTATGTCCATATCGCCCCCTAAGCGGATAGCGTATATACACTAGCGTATACACAATAAGCGTATATACGCTATAAGCGTATTTGGCAACTTAGACCTCACCTCACCTCACCTCACCTCACCTCAATGCCCCCCCTGCCAGCCGTCTCGCCATTGACTCCCTGCGTAATGTCCCCCCCACACCCTGATCTCTGCAGGTGGCATGTACGCATTGCTGCACCCATTGCTGCACCCATTGCTGCACCCATTGCTGCACCCATTGCTGCACACATTGCTGCACCCATTGCTGCACCCATTGCTGCACCCATTGCTGCACCCATTGCTGCACCCATTGCTGCACCCATTGCTGCACCCATTGCTGCACCCATTGCTGCACCCATTGCTGCACCCATTGCTGCACCCATTGCTGCACCCATTGCTGCACCCATTGCTGCACCCATTGCTGCACCCATTGCTGCACCCATTGCTGCACCCATTGCTGCACCCATTGCTGCACCCATTGCTGCACCCATTGCTGCACCCATTGCTGCACCCATTGCTGCACCCATTGCTGCACCCATTGCTGCACTCAATTGCTCGACTCTGCACCGCCAGCCCCTCCCCTCAACTCACCAGCAGCGCCTCAACTCACCAGCAGCGCCTCAACTCACCAGCAGCGCCTCGACTCACCAGCAGCGCCTCAACTCACCAGCAGCGCCTCAACTCACCAGCAGCGCCTCAACTCACCAGCAGCGCCTCAACTCACCAGCAGCGCCTCAACTCACCAGCAGCGCCTCAACTCACCAGCAGCGCCTCAACTCACCAGCAGCGCCTCTGAGAGGCCTTCAGCAACGGCGGCGTCCGAAGCGCCGCCCCCCGAGAAGGAGAGCGCGTCGAGCCACGAGAGGAAGATGGCAGGTGAGGCTGTGAAGGGCGTCTGCTGGAGCAGCGAGGCTGGCGGGGTTCAGGATGGGGTGGGGGACGGGTGGAGGGTGGCGAGAGGAGGGGGGAGAGGGAGCACGAGAGGTTTTGCGGCGCCTCCCGAGAAGGAGTCGCGAGTGGCGAGTGGAGAGGAGCCAGGCGAGCCAGGCGTGGCGAACGATGCCGTCAAGGGTGTCTGCAGCAGCGAGGCTGATGGGGTGGGGGGCGGGTTGGTGGGGGGGGGGAGAGAGTGTGGATGAAGTCGGAGGGCGGCGAACCAGGGGGAGAGGGAGGAGAGCAGAGATGGTTTTGCGTCACCTTGAGAGTTCCCTCTCGAGAGGGTGGTGAGTGAGGGTAAGACGTCTCAGCATCAGTTACGACTGGGAATGTCTTGCATGTTACAGGGCGGGGTAGGGAGACTGTGGTGTGGTAGGCGCGTGGTGTATGGAAGAACCGAGAAGCTGCAAACGGGAGAGGAGGAGAGGAAAGGAGGTTAGGATGCATCTAGCAGGGGCAATGTGGCGCAGCTGAGAAGGGCGCAGCTGAGAAGGGCGCAGCTGAGAAGGGCGCAGCTGAGAAGGGCGCAGCTGAGAAGGGCGCAGCTGAGAAGGGCGCAGGTGAGAAGGGCGCAGGTGAGAAGGGCGCAGGTGAGAAGGGCGCAGCTGAGAGTGGCTGCCTGCATTGAGCATTGTGCATGGCAGAGAGGGACGCACCTGAGAAGGAGCCGTGCGAGTGGTAGACCACGAGAGCCAGCTCCACCGCTGCTGTGCCCGCCCTCTGCCACGCAGTCAACGCCAGTCCATGGGTCAACACCAGTAAGGGAGGGAAGGAAGGTGGAGGAGGGTGGAGGGGGCACAAGGAGGGAGGAGGAAGTAGCAGAGAGATGAGGTACCGATCTGCCCCGCCCTGCACCGCCCCGCTCCACCCCACCCCACCCGGCCCCTGACCCGCCATGCCCCGCCCTGCCCCGCCCTGACACGCCCTGACCCGCCCTAACCCGCCCTGACCTGAGTGAGAGAGTCGACGCCACAGAAGTCCCTGACGACCATGGCATGCGCGGAGAGACGGGGGGGGAGCGGGGGTTGGGGCCAGGTGGGGGGTGGGCAGGGGGCCGAGGGCAGGGGGGTGGGAAGGGGGCAGAGGGCAGGGGGGTGGGAAGGGGGCAGAGGGCAGGGGGAGGGGGAAAAGGGGACGGAGGGGGGGAATGGAAAAGTGGGGAAGGGCAGGGGAGCGGAGGGAACAGCGGAGGCCGAGGCAAGGAGGGGAGGGGAACGGAGAGAGGACAGGACAGGGATGTGATGAGGAGAGCAAGAATTGGAGGGAAAAAGACGAGAGAGTAGGAGAGGAGTGAGTGGATGGGGAATGCATGGCGCTCCTGCAGAAAAGCGCTATAGCAGGGCGACGCTGATGGGCACGCACTACGCACTTGAGCAGCGGGTGCAAGTGAGAGCGTAGAGGGAGGCGGAACGCACGTGAGCAGCGGGTGCAGGTAGAGGCGTCTCAGCAGCGCCCACGACGGCCCCATGCTCGCCGTGCCCTCCACCACCACCACCACCTGCTTCGCCGCCCCGCGCCTCTGCTGCCCCGCCTGCTGCTGCTGCGGATGCGCCTGCGTCTGCTGCTGCGGCGCGTGCGGTTGCGGCTGCGCCATGTGTAGCCGCGGAATCGGCGCCTGCGCGGCTGTGGGCTGCATGCCGCCCGCGCCTGGCGGGACACCTCCCAGCGGCGCAGCCGCCATTCGCGCGACGCTTCACCCGCCCATCCGAAAATTGACGGGTTCAGAAACTGACTTTCTTGGGCGCAGAAGTAACTTGGGAAGAAGTTACTGGAAAACTGGCTTTTTCACGCGCTGCTCTCAAATGTCGCAGGGTGCGAGTTCCCAAACTATTGGGAACCAATCCAAGTAACTCGGATGGAGGTTCGGCAAAGACGCTGATTCGTTCTACCTTTGGTTCTGCGCTTCGATATTTGGCGTCAGATTTTCCCGCCTAGGCTGAAATCGTGTTAAAGTGATACGCGTAGGCTTTTCCAATTGGCGCGGCAAGCTTCAATAATCTTGATAGATTGCGCATACAATCTAGATCACGTAGACAATATTAGCATTTCGGATGCCTATACAGCTTGTGCATTGTTTGTGATTATATTGAACATTGCATTTGTACTGATAAGTACGTTATCATTTAGTGCTCAACATCTTAACACTACAGTGGAAAAAAAAAATGCCTTTTACAATTTACATTGTAAATCAATAATTCCATAATTTTAAACATCCAAAACAAAAAGCTTTCCACTTTTTTTTAAATTGATTATTTCCTTCCATATTATTTGAGAATCGTGAAGATCACAAAATGTCATTACACCCATGAACCAAACTTTGTAATCTGCATGTATTACAATAACATATATAAGCCACCTCATGGAGTTAATTCTGTCAGGCAGGATCCACCCACTAACATGCTAACACACCGCTTAGCTCGTCTGCACTAAGAAACATAAGACATGAACAAAGCCTAGATTGCAACTGTTTTGTCCTATCAAAAAGCAAGTGAAAAAAGAAGCTGCAGGGTCGGAGATGATTCTAAAAACAGACCATACTTGCATCCCCCTCTTCCCCCGTCAGGTCTCTTCCAAGGTCTACAGGCTGCACGATTGGCAAACGCAGGATGTGAAGAAAAGATAGGAGGTTTGATGAAACTGAATTAAAAAGTTGCAGCGAGAAAATACGGGTTTACAAGTGAAGAGAGGGGACACATCAGAGGGGTGGGGAAAGGGTGTGGGGGGGAAAGCAGATAGCATAAGCTGGACCAACACCTGGAATTCTCGCACGCGGAGGCGGAATTTTTGCACGCGGCGGCGAAAGTTCCGCACGCGGCGGCGGACGTTACGCATGCGGCGCTGGACGTTCCGCGCGGCGGCGGAAATTACGCACGCGGTGGCGGAAATGTCCCGCTTGCCGCGTGAGGTACCGTTGAGCGAGCGAGCGATCCGTAGATCGAACGCGATGCTCCCGTGATAGGATCCCATGGCGACACGCCGTCGCTCTCTGCAAGCACACGAAGCATAAGCGTGCAGGAACGCGGGAAACCGCGGAAGGTAGATAGAAAGGAAGGAAAAGGGGGCATGAGCGAAAGCAGGGAAACATAGAAAATTTCCAAGAAATACGACTTCGCGCTCCTGCTGTTAGCAAGTACATCACGGGAGATAAAAATAGCATCTCGGAACCCTAAAAAGTCCCGATTTTACTCAGGATGGCATCGGGACGCGAGGATACTAGCTGCGCGACGTGCCACATGGCAGATCGACGAGAACGGTCGTCGATTACGTGGCGGGCTGGAACTAACGAGGGAAGAGCCGTCGAGAGGAACGAGAACAGAAGCAGAGAGCTATTGAAACACAGACAAGAAACTAACACAGATATACGTGGTGAAGGAGAAGGGGGGTGGTGAGGTGAGGAGAATCGAGATGAAAGGGATGCTCTTTTGGGTGGGTGGTTGTTCAGTTTGATGGTCAAGATTGGACAACTGAAATATTTTGGTGTAGGATCGACGGCCCACAATTCAAGTTAGACGAGATCACCTGTGCTGGGGCGTGGTTTTGTTTGGGCGGAAAATGATGAGTCAGATTGTGTCAACGCGGTGAACCCGGATAACCGTCGATAAGGTAGACTTGTGCTTGCAAACTAAGGGCATCCGTCTCCCCAGCGATATGAGATGTAAACTATACAAACTGGCCCTGAAATGGAAAGTTAGTGTATCACGTCACTATATAGTAACACTGAAGTATGTTTCAGTACATGATTTAAACGATTATCTAGTTCTTGAAGAGACCTAAACAAGGACAGCACATATTAACAGCTCCAACGCAGTTTATTCACCGTGTGTGTTTTTCACGCTTTTTATACATACAATCAATTTGAATAGCATAATAATAAATTTCGGCAGAATTTAATATAAACGTCAAAATACTACTACTAATATTACTACGACTACAACTACGATTACTACTACCACAACAGCTAATACCACAACAACTACTACTACTAGTACAACTGCTGCTGTTGCTGCTGCTGCTGCTGCTGCTGCTCCTACTGCTACTACTACTACTACTACTACTACTACTACTACTACTACTACTACTACTACTACTACTACTACTACTACTACTACTACTACTACTACTACTACTACTACTACTACTACTACTACTACAACGACTACTACTACTACTACTACTACTACGACTACCACTACCACTACCACTACTACTACTACTACTACTACTACTACTACTACTACTACTACTACTACTACTACTACTACTACTACTACTACTACTACTACTACGACTACTACTACTACTACTACTACTACTACTACTACTACTACTACTACGACTACCACTACCACTACCACTACGACTACTACTACTACTACTACTACTACTACTACTACTACTACTACTACTACTACTACTACAACTACTACTACTACTACTACTACTACTACTACTACTACTACTACTACTACTACTACTACTACTACTACTACTACTACTACTACTACTACTACAAACAAGCGTCACGTGCGGCGTAGTTGGGCGAACGAGGTCAAACGAGTTCCTATGGCAAGGGAATAGGATGTAATACCTGAATGTGTGAATAAATAGTGCTAAAAACAACATCCAAATGTTCAAACGGTGACATGTTGCGCACATGCCAATCCTTCCACAGGTTCAGGCCGGCATACGCACAAACAAGCGTCACGTGCAGCGTAGTTGGGCGAACGAGGTCAAACGAGCTCCTATGGCAAGGGAATAGGATGTAATACCTGAATGTGTGAAGAAATAGTGCTAAAAGCAACATCCAAATGTTCAAACGGTGACATGTTGCGCACAGGCCTATCCTCGCACAGATTCAGGCCAGCAGACGCACAAACATGCGCCACGAGCTGCGTAGTTGTGCTAACGAGATGAAATCAGTTCCTATGGCTAGGTAATAGGATGTAGTAGAGAACTGTGTGAAGAAATAGTGGTAAAAAAGGCATCCAGACGTTGGCGCAGTGACATGTTGCGCACAGGCCTATCCTCGCACAGATTCAGGCCAGCAAACGCACAAACATGCGCCACGAGCTGCGTAGTTGTGCTAACGAGATGAAATCAGTTCCTATGGCTAGGTAATAGGATGAAGTAGAGAACTGTGTGAAGAAATAGTGGTAAAAAAGGCATCCAGATGTTGGCGCAGTGACATGTTGCGCACAGGCCTATCCTCGCACAGATTCAGGCCAGCAAACGCACAAACATGCGCCACGAGCTGCGTAGTTGTGCTAACGAGATGAAATCAGTTTCTATGGCTAGGTAATAGGATGAAGTAGAGAACTGTGTGAATAAATAGTGATAAAAAAGGCATTTAGACGTTGGCGCAGTGACATGTTGCGCACAAGCCTATCCTCGCACAGATTCAGGCCAGCAAACGCACAAACATGCGCCACGAGCTGCGTAGTTGTGCTAACGAGATGAAATCAGTTCCTATGGCTAGGTAATAGGATGTAGTATAGAACTGTGTGAAGAAATAGTGGTAAAAAAGGCATTCAGATGTTGGCGCAGTGACATGTTGCGCACAGGCCTATCCTCGCACAGATTCAGGCCAGCAAACGCACAAACATGCGCCACGAGCTGCGTAGTTGTGATAACGAGATGAAATCAGTTCCTATGGCTAGGTAATAGGATTTAGTAGAGAACTGTGTGAAGAAATAGTGGTAAAAAAGGCATTCAGATGTTGGCGCAGTGACATTTTGCGCACAGGCCTATCCTCGCACAGATTCAGGCCAGCAAATGCACAAACATGCGCCACGAGCTGCGTAGTTGTGCTAACGAGATGAAATGAGTTCCTATGGCTAGGTAATAGGATGTAGTAGAGAACTGTGTGAAGAAATAGTGGTAAAAAAGGCATTCAGACGTTGGCGCAGTGACATTTTGCGCACAGGCCTATCCTCGCACAGATTCAGGCCAGCAAACGCACAAACATGCGTCACGAACTGCGTAGTTGTGCTAACGAGATGAAATCACTTCCTATGGCTAGGTAACAGGATGTAGTAGAGAACTGTGTGAAGAAATAGTGGTAAAAAAGGCATTCAGACGTTGGCGCAGTGACATTTTGCGCACAGGCCTATCATCGCACAGATTCAGGCCAGCAAACGCACAAACATGCGCCACGAGCTGCGTAGTTGTGCTAACGAGATGAAATCAGTTCCTATGGCTAGGTAATAGGATGTAGTAGAGAACTGTGTGAAGAAATAGTGGTAAAAAAGGCATTCAGACGTTGGCGCAGTGACATTTTGCGCACATGCCTATCCTCGCACAGATTCAGGCCAGCAAACGCACAAACATGCGCCACGAGCTGCGTAGTTGTGCTAACGAGATGAAATCAGTTCCTATGGCAAGCAAGCAGAGATGTACTATATCGCAAGCATGCAAGATAAATTTGGTGAAACTCGGACAAGACAACAAGAAAATTATTAATATAGTTCAGGCAACACGTTAATTTGCAGAATATCCATACTCTTTAGAGAGAACCATTCGAAATCAGATTAAAATCATCATGCATACATATATTTGTGATGTACTTGTATTGTCTTGCTTTTTTGCAAACAAGGC